GGAGGCTTGTTGCTGCCGCCGAGGCTGATGACGCCCGCCTGCAGGGGCACGGCCGGAGCCAAAGACAAGGGGATTAGATTCAATGCCGTTGACGAGACGTCGTGGAAAGGCTCAAAGTCTGGGTCGGCGGTCCGCGCGCACCTTGGGGATCTGCTTCCTGGCCTGAGCAGGGGAGCTGCCTGGCGGGGGCGGTCTGGAAGGTGGGGCAGGCCTCGGCGGGGGCGGCCCTCCCTTGGGCGCTGCGGGGGCGTCGTCCTCGTCACCAGGACTCCAGCCGCCCAGGGATCCCTCTCGGATCAGAATAGCTGACAGAGAAAGGGGAGGAAAGTCAGGAGTAGAATGGTGAAAATCAATCAAGGTAGAAGTTTAATAAAACGGATGATACTCACGGTCCACCTCATCAGGAGACTCTGCGTCGAGGTCCCATCCAGATAAGGCCATGTAATCACACAGTGCAGTTGTGTTGTTGCTACAGAGAGCTATTTCCTTCTCGGTCTGAGCTTGCCAATTGTCTGTTTTCAGTGACAACTGGAGAGTATGCCCAAGGAGCTGTAAGAAAAGAGGGGTAATTTTTAGGGCTAGGTAATTTATTTGAACATGATACTGATATGTAACATGAGTAATAAAATAGTCTTACTTTGAAAGAACCCTTTTTCAGTGCTGCAAGTGCACACTGGCCATCACGGAAAGTTACCCACATGGTGTCTTCCACAAAGCGCACAAGGATAACTTCACCAATTTGAGCTAATTCTTGAAGCAATGCTGTCATGAAATCATCATCGAAGATAGCACTACTATCTTCACCTGTAGTTGAGTCAACAGCCTGAAATTTAACAATACAAGAATAAAAATTTAAAGTAACAAAAAATCCTTTAGCATTACAAACTTGCTAAAGATTCTCACCTGTACCACAATAGTGGCATCTGGAGGTCCTAGATCCTGAATAACTTCCATAAACACTTGCTTGCGCCTTTCATCATCAACCCGATAAACATCCACATCTACAATAGCTATGACAGGACGGTGATCACTTTGTTTCAATTCAGCACGACCATAGTGAACCAATCTGCCTGGATTCCAATCTGATCCACATATCTCTGTAAAAAAAAATAAGTTAGATTTGATGAAATGATAAAACAAAGTCTCAAATCTTTTGACACTTTTTAAAGGTTTAGAAATACCAGTTTCTGGTTGTTGCTTGCGTCTCTTCCACAAAACTCGATCAGTCCAGGCTGGAGCACGACATTTTTCACTAGTATCAAAATCCTCAGAGAAGAGATCATACTTGTAGGTTGGAGGAAAAGTCACTTCTCCTTCAGTAAAACCCTTAAAGACATTTCCTTGCTCTTGTTGAACCTGAATCAAACCATATATTAAATTACAGTTATTTTAATCATAAAATGAAATAAATCATGGTGCACTTCTATTATTGTAACTACATACTCTTAATTGGTCACACTGCAAAATTGGTTCCAGTTCCCCACGCTTTACATATTCTTTGATTTCATCTTTATCCATATCAACTCTGTAGTTAAAATCTCCACACCAAAAGACGTAATCGTGGGAATTCAATGTTCTTCCCTACAAAAAAATTTACCATGGTTAAAATATAGTATGTAGATTGGCATTAATATACACAGAAAAAGTAATCCGTTTAACACCGATTAATTAGTGATAAGATTAATGACAAGACAAGCTAAGATAATTGTTCAGAGAGAAACATCTTTCAGATAAAGGTATTTACCATGGGAAATGAGACTTTTCTGGTTATTTCAGCATAATCTGCATTACGTTCAGTAACCTGTGATTGGCCAGCCGCAAAATGAGCGCAGACAAAGCATATGGACGTGCTGTAGAAAACTAATCTTATGGCACAAGCTCCTTTGTTACCTATTAATTTAGGAAAATAATGTGATATTTGATTGTATTACAAAGTAATTATGATTTGTTTTAATACTAAGAATATATCATTCAACAACAAAAACAACGACAAATGACCTACCAGTAGCACCCCCCAAACCAGTTTTAACAGAATCAATTGCAACGTCTCTGATGAATGGGGCATGCTCTTTACGAACGAACAAATACAAGCATACGCCTACAAGCTGCACATAAGTCACTGCAACATATTCACGATCACGGGATAGGACTTTTTGAAGCTCTGTTGCCCATAATTTTGCATTTTCAGAACTGAAAACAAGAAAAAAATATAAGAGATCAAAAAGTTTAAACAAACAAATGTGCACCACCTGGAGATGCAAAGCCCCTACCTTGCAGCCATAATATTACTAGCATTGAGATCAACAATTTCTTCAAAGCCAATAGCATATATGTCAACAGGACACTCCTCATCAGGTGGATTAGAGACATCAACAAGAGCTGATAAACAATGGAAAACAAGCATGTTGTAAGAAGGTGAGTATATTTTAGGTTTCCAAAAGAAAAATTTGAGGAGACTTACAATTTGACTTTGCCAAACGAGGGGCGTCTAATAGCCAATCAGATAGAGAAACATCTTTATAAACAACACTGCGGAAATGTTTTCCTCCATTGACATTGTAAGTACCAACAGCAACACGGGCATTTGCAGGGAGAACATACTCCGAAAACCGTTTACACATTTCTCGCAAGACACTGGTAGGAGCTACGAAAAATGTAAAACATGTATAAAACATTTTACTGTAACACATTTCACATTCATAGTGGATGGTATGAAATATAGTCCAAATAAATGAATTTACCATGCAACATATTTGAAGGAAGAAGAATTCTTGCCCTGTCAGCTAACTCGCTGCTCAGAGTTGAGCCGAGGAGAAGAATATCAATGGCTTCTTGTTTGCTATTATCCAGTAGGTTGTTTTGAATAGTACGAGCTGCAGAACGGGCTCCATCCATCAGCTAGGCAATAGCAAAAACAACAAAACAAATTTAAGATCATATTCACAAAGGTAAATTTCAAGTTCACAAATTTGAGTCATCAGAAACTTACCTTAGAACCACCTTGAATGGCACCAGTCCCAGCATATATTTTACTGACCTCATTGCCATTATTGATCCACATTTGTCTAAAAACTTCTTCAAAACGAGATACCATAGTTTGTTTTACCATCAAATTCAGAAGCTCAAGTTGCTTTGACAATGTCTGAAAAGAAATCGATTGATACCTTCACACTGTAAATGATTTCTTTCACAATTGAATTTAAAAACAAACACAAACCTCAAGTCCCAAGAAAGTTTGGACACAGTTGGTTCGATCCAAACAGTCTAGACAATTTGTTCTTACAGTCCCCTTCTGCTCACTACATGAATAAAAAAATACAAAGATACAGAAATTTGAAAAGTTCCCTTGTTTTACCAAAATTATTCATGTTCACTATGTAATTTACAGAGATCACTTACCAAATCATTTCACCTCCCTTCCCATAGTACACACCAAAGGCCTTTAGATACTTTTCAACTTTAACTTTCAATCGAGCTAAATTTTTAGTATTGCCTCCTCTACATTCTTGGTGGTAATCAAAGACTATGTGTGGGACATCTTTATGCTGGGATGCTTTGTGATGAGCCTAGAGTGGTTTAATCAGGTTTTACTCAATGTAAGCAGATGAAAAGTGATAAGGCGCAATACATGTTTCACATTGTCATACCTGGAAAAGTTGACTGAGAGTAGCTTCCCCTTCTTTGCTTCCAATGAGGCTTGTCCCTAGCAAATTTATAATAGCTTGATGCCCATATCTATCCTTGATTAAAGATAGATGTCTGTCAAAAACTGGAGCAGATACTTCGTATCCTCTAGACATTTTCACTTTGTGTGAGCCCACCTACACAAAATGGATTGGTTAGTATTGAACAGAATAGTGGATTAAATGGAAATCCCTTCTCCATAAAGTCACACAAAATGTACCTGCACTCCTGGTTGTTCCCAAAACAGCGGAACAGACCCACGAGTTTGGACAAATGATGTCACTTCAGAGTCAAGATATATTGCTTGCTCTGTTTCCACAAAGTTGGCAACATGTCCATCATCATTGCTGCCTCGGACATTGAATCTGAAACAGAGAGAATGTTGAGTACAGCTCCCCTCTTATAAAATGTAGTAGAGGTTGTGGCTGTACAAGCAAAAAATAATAAAAATTTGGGAATATACCTTGTTCCAGCTCTCTCACAGCTCAACCTTGATATTATCATAGCCTGTGCTTTACGGCTACCAGTATAAACAGTGCGTATTTCTACACTTCCACACATTGCTTTCAAAAGCCAATCAGAGCAATTTACACTAAATCGCAGCAAATGTATGTGAAGCATACGGTTCCTGAGAATTTTAGATTAAATTGTGGTAATTAAATCATATTAAAGTAAAACAAACTGGTAAATAAATAAAAAATGTTGAAGCTCACCAGAAGAATCTATTATCAGTTGCGGCTGTTTTAGTCCTGCGCTGTGCACATAGTGTAAGGTCCAGAGGATCCCCAGATGACGACCACGAAAAATAAAATGTGCCAGAGTTTAACAGCTTGCGGACCTACACAGCAGAGCAATAGTATGAATAATTTTATTATAACATAGTTTAAGGAACAAAGAGGAATGCCAAAATTGAAATCAATACCTCTGATATTCTTTCTTCGTCCTGAGCTTGATTTCTTAGAGAAACAAAATGTGTTTGCGTCACACGAAAAATTTCAGAATCAGCAACTTTGCCAACAGAAACACATCCTGTTACCATTACTAGATAGAGCACTGTTGTTTCCCCTGAAGAAAAATAATTATACATGTCCAAATTTAATGATCTGAAGAATGAATGAAGGAGACCACAAGAAGGTAGTTACCAGTTGACAGCCTTCATCATACCTGCATTCAACTGAAGCACTCCAAGACAACCGTAAGCATCAAGAAGTTTTGTATACTGTCTCTTAACGGATTCAGTCTCCTGAGGAGCTGTAAGGCAAAAGACAAAAGTATGAAGAACCTGCTGTAGTGGAAAAACTAACCTATACAATAGGTATAAAGGTAATGTACGTGTGTGCGGTTGACCAAAACATTGACAGACATACGGTAAACAAAACTCTTCTCGTCGGGTTAAAATACACAATCCGATTGATTACATGACGTAAATCAAAACATTGACAAGGTAAATGTCAAAGTGACACCCCCCGACCAAAAGTCGATGTTGAATGTTACTCACACAAGACGGCCACAGCCTGGGACTCGAAGAGCAGTGTGTCATCATTGTTGCGCTGCTCTAAAAGGACACTGTACGGATTTGGAGGATTGGATTTTTCTAAAACGCGATAACCTTTTCCCATCGCCATTATCGGGCTGCTAACGCCGTACAGGCGCACAGCTGACAGGACGAACACTCAGCGCACGAACGAACTCGAACCTGCCCCGACGAACCAGACTATGGCATCTCATTCGCATTCACATTCAGGGTTGCCAGGTCCGGAGTGAGTCAAGTCGCCAGAAGAGGGCGCTCGAGTCGCCAATCGTCGCCAGCCGCCCAAGTCGCCAAAAATCACCCGCCACAGATTCAAATCGCCAAAAATCGCCAACCTTTTTGTGGGATAGCCAAAAAAGAGGCAAGGTAAAAATGAACTCGGGTAGCCTCCAAGAGTCATCAAGTGTGACAATGTGGCGAGCTGCTGGGCTTATTTCTGAGAAATTTATCTCCCCCGGGCCGGGAAAGTACTAATCCCTTCGTAATCCTCGCTTCCGTGGGGTCAGGTAGCCCGAGTCGCCCAGGATCGCCAAACTTGGAGGTCAGTCGCCAAAAATCGCCAGGTCAAAACACGAATCGCCAAAAAAATCGCCTGGCGCCAGGCCGTCTTTTTAAGTCGCCAAACCCGACTTCAAATCGCCAATTTGGCGACAAATCGCCACGTCTGGCAACCCTGTTCACATTCGATCCGAAGCGAGACCCGACGGTCCCGACCGGTATGAGGGATTTCCCGACCATTTTCCAGCGATTTTCAGTCCGTCTGAAGTTGGAGAATCGGGAAACTGTTCAATCGCCCACCATTATAGGCAAAACTCAGTGTTGAAGTGCAGGAAGCGAACTGAAAATAGTGTGAGGGTGCGCGTGGTGCGTGCTAGAGACTGAGGACTCCTCCCCCTCCCCCCTCCCCTCCGCTCCGCTCGGTGCGGGCGCAGGGCGGGCCGCCGTCTCCACACAGCTGCTTGGCGGGTGGGCCTACCCGGCGCGTTGCAGGCGTTGTCATCATCGTCGCCCCAGCAAATAGATTGATGCATCGAGAAACCGTCACTTGCCGAGGTCGTGTGAGGTATGACATTATATTGCTGGCAGCATGGAAATGAAATCACGCATCGTCTCGACAACGTTTTTCTATTTTTCTCTTCAGCTCTAAATCGTTTAATACAAATATGACATGACGTTAAAACTACGAAGTGTGATGACAAAAATGTTCACGTCGGCGGGCGGCACGGCCCACAGCAGCCCTGGTCCGCGCCCATGCTCTCGGCCTCCTCCAGCGTCTCCGGCAGCGGCCGGCCCGTGGTCTCGGGGAACAGCAGCGCGAGCAGCCCGCTGGACAGCGACACGACGCCGAACAGCGTCAGCGGCAGCGACTCGCTCACGGTCGCCTGCGGCACGGGGG